TGTAAGACCAGAACCTATTGCCTCCCTCAAATATGACCTGATGTGGCTAAAGCGACAAGTCACAGGAGGTCCCTCACCTGATGGATCAGGAAAAGTTCTTGCCATTTCTGTGGAGCCCTCACACCTTGCAGGCCAGGAATAATCCCAGTTGATTGTGGCCAATAATTCTTTTAATATATTGTTGGATTTGATTTGTTAATATATACTGAGAATTGTTACATCAATATTCATCAGGAATATGGCCTGTAATTCTCATTTTTAGTGGGGTCTCTGCCTGGCTGAGAGTCATGATAATACTGGCCTCATACAACAAATTTGGAATTTTTCTATCCATTTGAATTTTTGAAACAGTTTGAAAAGAATAGGTATTAACTATTCTTTAAATATTTGGTAAACTTAGCTTGTGAAGCCATCTATCTGGCCTTGGTCTTTTGTTTCTTGGAAGATATTTATTTATTTATTTATTTATTTATTTATTTATTTATTTATCTTCTTAAATAGTTCATTGTCAAGTTGGTTTGCATATAACACCCAGTGCTCATCCCAACAAGTGCCCTTCCCCATGCCCATCACCCTACTTCCCCTCTCCCCCACCCCCATCAGTGCTCAGTTTGTTCTCAGCATTTAAGAGTCTCTCCTGGTTTGCCTCCTTCCTTCTCCCCAAGTATTTTTCCCCTTCTTCTCCAACATGGTCCTCCGTTAGTTTCCTCCTAATCCACCTATACGTGCAAACATATGATATCTATCCTTCTCTGCCTAATTTATTTCCTTCAGCATAACACCCTCTCGTTCCATCCATGTTGCTACAAATGGCCAGATTTCATTCTTTCTCATTGCCATGTACTATTCTATTGTATACATATACACATCTTCTTGATCCATTCATCAGTTGACGGACACTTAGGATCTCCCCATGGTTTGGCTATTGTTGAGAGTGCTGGTATGAACGATAGAAAACTTATGAAGGAAATTGAAGAAGACACAAAGAAATGGAAAAACATTTCATGCTCATGGATCGGGAGAATAAATATTGTTAAAATGTCATCTGTACCCAAGCCAATCTGCACCTTCAATGCAATCCCAACCAAAATTGCACCAGCATTCTTTTCAAAACTAGAACAAGCTATCCTAAAATTTATATGGAACCACAAAAGAGCCCGAATACACCAAAACGGAGGCACCACCATCCCAGACTTTAGCCTCTACTACAAAGCTGTAGTCATCAAGACAGTATGGTATTGGCACAAAAACAGACAGAGACCAACGGAATAGAATAGAGAACTCAGAATCGAACCCACAACTGTATGGCCACCTAATCTTTGACAAAGTGTGGAAGAGCATCCAATAGAAAACAGACAGCCTCTTTAACAAATGGTGCTGGGAGAACTGGACAGCAACATGCAGAAGAATGAAATTAGATCATTTTCTCACACCATACACAAAAATAAACTCAAAATGGATAAAGGACCTGAATGTGAGACAGGAAACCATCAAAACCCTAGAAGAGAAAACAGGCAGAAATCTCCTTGTCCTCAACTACAGCAATTTCTTTTTATTTAAAATAGTTTATGTCAAGTTTGTTTCCATACAACACCCAGTGCTCATCCCCACAAGTTCCCCCCTCCATGCCCATCACACCCTCTCCTCACCTCCCCCACCCCCATCAGCCCTCACTTTGTTTTCAACATTCAGAGTCTCTCATGGTTTGCATCCCTCCCTCTCCCCCACCATTTTCCCCCTTCTTCTCCCTCATGGTCCTCTTTTAAAAGAATCCAATGTACAAATGTCTTACAATAACATAACTGAGCACAGCCTTCTCACTATGGACAGCAAAACTGGAGACTAGAGTTGCAAAAATTGAATTAAATGAAAAATACTCGAAGTTGACTGTTGGTGAGAATTTAGTGGTGACGCAGGTAAATGAGAGAGACTGTGAGAGTCTGTACACTTGGGACTCCTTCTCCACATTCACCTGGGTGAGTCCACACAACCTGAGCACAGTCACAAGGAAGCAGATGTGTAAGATTAGTAACTGATCTTACACATCCTGGAATGTCTGAGACACACACACACAGAATGACTAACAACAGACAGATGAAGAACCCAAATTAGATGTGCTTCTCTTGAGAACGACCCTCCCAAAGAGCTTCATGCTCAGGGTGGCGGTGGTCCTGACCTCCTGTATCCACAGGGCACAATTTCACCAAAAGGACAGAGGTATGGTTTCAGGTGCACACTCTGGGATGTCAGGAAAATGTAAGGACGGCGAGAGTAGAAGAGCACTTCCTGTGTCTCCTGTGAGGTTGGGGTCGGTGCTGGTTTCATGCAAGACTCCGCACTCCCTGTCCATCAGAGCCTCACGTCCCTCATGGCACCGCATCCCGCTTCCTGGACAGGGAGGAAGTAGGAAGGCACGGGAAGAAACGCAGAGGTTTTATCCAGGTTTGTTTTGTAAACACATCCTTGTCCCGTATTGAACAATGTCCTGTTTTCCTGTTACATGTTAATAGGCAGTTGTGTGTGAATTGATGAGGGTGAAGTGTCATGTATTCCATGTCAACATCTCAAGTAGTGCATACGAGGTTGTGCTCCAAGAGAGCAAGGAAGGAGGAGAAATGACAACTGACCATCTCTCAGAGCAGATGGTGGCTCACTGTGTGTGTAGAGAGTTTCTGGAAAGTACCTCCCAAGGAATCAAGATACAGATGGTGAGTATCACCATCTATGAAACAAGGGACATTGAACTCTGAGTGCATTCGGGACCCTGGCAGGGCGATATTGACCTGGAATTTGCATGGACATGAATGACATAACACCACCCTTATGAGAGCAAGGCAGAGAGATATTCATTGTTCCACAAGGAACAACCACCTGATGTCTGCAGTAAGATTCTGCCTGCTGGATTTTGTGGAAATAACATGCCATGACCAGAAATTCAAGATGTGCAATTGAGCCTCAGAAGGACACACAGCTCTGATGACATTTTGTGTCCGATCCAGTTTAACTGATTTCACACTTCTGAAATGATGAAGCCCATGAAAGTTTCATACTCTCCTATTTCTCTCCCTTCCCCCCCACCCCAGACGCTGACAGGAAACCTGCCTGTAACCTCCATCACTCCCTGCTCCTGAGAATACAAACCAGAACTGTGCATAGTGTGCACCCTCTGGCGGTGCTGATCCCCTTCTACAGGGAGGTTTGTGTCTGGGCTCATACTGATGACTCCTCACTGTGTCTCTCGCACAGAAATACGTGGCCATGTCTTCGACTCTCAGGTTGTTCATCTGCAGATACAGTGTGTTCTTGGCGTTGTCTCTGGAGATGGTGAATCGGCCCTTCACGGAGTCTGCATAGTATGTGCTTCCACCACTATTAATATATGCAACCCACTCCAGCCCCTTCCCTGGAGCCTGGTGGACCCAGCTCATGTAAGAGGTACTGAAGGTGAATCCGGAGGCTGCACAGGAGAGTCTCAGGGACCCTCCAGGCTTCACCAGGCCTCCCCCAGACTCCACCAGCTGCACCTCACACTGGACACCTGCAGACACAAGACATCCTGGTCAGGAAACTGTCACACATCTGGTGTTTCTCTCACTCATATTCACTCACACACTCAGTGTCTCTTGTTCACCATGAATTACCTTTTAAAACAGCAACAAGGAAAGCCCAGCCAAGCACAGTCTCCATGGTGAGATGTCTGTGTTCTGTCCTGATCACAGAATGGGAACACCTGGGACTCCCGGGGCTGGGGCTCCTCTCCCAGCTGAGGGTCAGGGCTGGGCTGGCTTAATCATCACAGGGAGGGTCTGATTTGCATGTCCTCTGCGTATATAAGCAGCTATGTATTCAGTTGTTACAAAGTTGGCAGTGACCAGAG